AGCAGGGAGCCCGATGCGGGACTCGATCCCGGGACTCCAGGATCACGACCTGAGCCGAAGGCAGTCGCTTAACCGACTGAGCCACCCAGGCGCCCTTAAAATGGGGATTTTAATGCCCACTTAGCAGGACTGCTGTGAAAATTAAATGAATATATATAATAAGTACCTAGAATAATACCTGGCATGTAGTTAGAGATCGAGGCTGGGCGGCAACCCTCTTCTTACAAACAAACAGACAAACAAACAAATAAATAGGCCTTATGGGCACTCTGTCACTAGGGAACCACAGAAAGGAGATAACCTGGGAATAGTGCTGCTACCGGCTCACTGTGCGGCCCACCCTTTCCAGGCCTCCAGCGCCCATGGGATGGGGAATCAAAGAAGTCCCCACTCTTGCCAAGTTCCTTAACATGGTGTTCATAAGCTTCAGGGGGCCAGCGAAGCCCCTGAAATTGTAGGCAAAATGTGTGAATGCACACTGGTTTTTCTGAGAAGGTTTCGTTAGATTTTCAAAAGTATGCGTAGGTCAGAGGTTGTCTAGGGCTGTGAGAGGGGATGACGAGTGACTGCCAATGGGCACGGGTTTCCTTCCAGGGTGATGAAAGTGTTCTAAAATGGTGATGACGGCTGCCCAGCTCCAAATATGCTAAACCCACTCAACTGCACATTTTAAATGGGTGAATTATATCTTAATGAAGCTGTTCTTTTAAAAAGTATATGTGATCAAAAAAAAAAAAAATTAGAAATCAAGGAGCGCCTTGGGGGTAAAGCAGTGGAGCTCCTGAGCTGGTTTGAGTATGCTCAAAAGCTGCATGGCCTGTGGCCAGCCAGGCTGCACAGAGCATCCTGACTAGGTTGAAGGCACTGTGTCGACTCTGGGTAGTGACACTGGGTCTTGAGGGTTGCTGAAACCTCTTCTCAGTGGCAAAGGTATAGCCTTTAAGGAATTAAAAATGGAAAACCAAATGATACTTCATGATAAATAAGCAAAGGTAAGTGATTCGTGGGGATAAAACTACCATGCCCCATTGTTGGGAGGGTTAACTACACAAGCGAGAGAGGCTGGGGCAAGCGTTATTCGTTAGTATCGTTAGCAACGATGTATGTGCCGTAAACGTTATAAGTCATAGTAATGATGACAATACCGTAGGTTTGGTGGACAAACTCTTTCAAAGGAGGTGGTTTAAGGGGACATAACAAAAAGCGTTCTTGTGGATAAAAGTCTGGTAACTATATTAGATGAGCTCTCTAGGCCCTTCTATAGTTTCTGTAGTCACCGATCCATCTTGGCAGAGAAGGAGGGTGCACAGGGGTCTAGGCATGGGTAAGTGGTAATAGGGGATGGCATATAGGGCTGTCCCCATAAAAAGGGCCATCAGATTCCCTGCCCTACCTCCCCATCAAGATGCCTAGCTGACTCCCTGTGCAAGTCTCTCCTTCTATTTTCCTTTAATGTCTTTCAAATATAAGCTTTACAGATAAGAAGGACCGATAAAAATCACTTGAGATTAAGGCTTATGGAATTTGCATCCCAAGGAACAATGGATTCTGGACCGATAAAGTCCTCACTCACACCAAAGTGTGCAATTTCGAGGGATCTGGTATTTACTTAGTGACTACTCTGTGCCAGGCACTCTGCTTGGCGCTTTACTTACATCATCTAATTGAATCGTCATAGCAACCCCAAAGGGTAGGAATCATGCCCATTTCATAGATGAGGAAACTGAGGCTCAGACAGGTTAAGTATTTGAATCAACCTGTTTTACCAAAGCCCAGACACTATCCTCTCTACCAGGCAGTCTCTCTGGAGCCTGCAGGTGCTCTGGGATTCCCACTTCTGGTCTGAGCACCAGAGTGAAGCATGGGCTCCATGGGAGAAGCTCCAGATGAAAGAGCAGACCAGCCCAGGGGTCAGATAAGCCATGCTGAGGATTCACCTACTATCGTTGGGAGAGAATGCCACCTCCTTCAGAGCCAGCCCCAAAGGTTGTCTGGCTTTAGAAATAAATCATGGCTTTGATTTTCAAAAATAATACACGTTTATTGGAGAATTTAGAAATGCATAAAGAAAATAAAAATTACCGTAATCCCACCATGTGGCCTTCTAGTTCTTTTTCCTGTGTGTATCTGTGCAAATATGTATATATACATACATTCCAATTCAGTGCAAAGCTCACTGCATATACTATTTTGTAACTTTTTTTGGCTTAAATATACATCATGAACATTTTTCAATGTAATTAAATACTTTGTGGCTACATAAGTTTTAAGGTCTGCAAAAGTGTTCCACATATGATTATTCTATACTTTTTTAAAGCCTTAATGACGAGAGAGATGGCTAGACCATTTGCTGAGTGTGAGACAGTATAGGGAGCCAGGCGTATACCCCATGGAGACCCCAAAAGGGTGGAAGGTGCAGGCAAACATGGAATGGAAGATGGTGCGCTCCTAGTCACCGGGCACGTCCTAGAAGATTCTGACTCTGTGCCCTCCACCCCCAATGCTGGCACACAGCCCTTACCTGCCCTGGCATAGCCCAGAGGTTTGGGCACAAGAAGAAAAACCACATGAGCTGGTTGGTGTCGATGGCAACCAGGTTGCAGATCTGCGCGGCTGTCATTTCCCCCATGGACAGGTTGGAGGTGGACAGGTGCATAATTTTGTTGTAAATCTTGGTCTGGAAATGAGAGCAGAGTGTTCCACATTTGTCATCATCACCGTCCTAATCCCTCTCCCAGATGCCATGTGTCTACAATGGGCCAGTACTTTCTCAGACATTACAGAGCAGCTCTGTAAGGGGGCAATGAGTGGGGAAAATGAGTGTTCCAATTTCACACATGAGGTAATTAAGGCTCAGAGAGGTAAAGGGCTTTGATTCTAGATCAAGCAAGTCAGAAAGGCAGCATTCAAATGAGGAATCCATGCTGGCAAGGCAAGCTACTTTCCCCAGCAAAGCAAGACCTCTCCCTTGGGGACAGGACTTAATTAGCTCTTAAATCTTAATAGCAGATCTTCAGGTCCAGTTGTATTCTTGATTTGCCAGAAGCCAGTGGAGAACACACTTCAGAGCCATAAAAATGATAAAGTGGGGCAGCTGTCTGTATTAATGTGGCTATCTTCAGCTGGGGGCGGGGGTATGCTCTGAGGCCAAGTCCTGTCTTAATTGAGCCTTGAAACAAAACAGGCGGTCAGCCTGGGAAGGTCTTATGTGAGACGGGACATATAAGTGTCAATCAGCCCCATCATCATTGGGAGTCCAGCTACCCAGAGCACCTTGTTCTGTGTCTCCAGGGCAGATGGGGAGCAGCCATGGTAATGGGAGAACTCTGAACCTAAAAGCTCTTTGTGCAGAGTGGTCATGCCTTCTAGAAAGATGGCAATTTTCAGGGTGTGTGCTCTTAAACAAGGAAAAATGCATTCCCATCTTCAATGCCCTAGGGATGGCTGCTCTTAAATGAAATTCTATTGTGCATTTGTTATAAGGTGGATTCCCAGCTCCCTTAATTCATCTTTTGTGAGACCCAGGTTATTTGCGGGTCAGGTTTGCTTAAAGCATGAACCTACTCTATGTCTTTTTGTGAGTTTATATACACCATGGGTAAAATAATGGCAATGACATTTTTGACAGATCTATGCACAGCCTAGGTTATGTGAAATCAGTCTTCAAAGAATAATAATAAATCTAGTTTCAGTGAAGTAGGAACATAGAGTAATCTACCAAAGAATGCATTATTCAGTAAAGACCAGGATATACAGAAATATGCAACTAATAGCTGGCGTATGTCAAAAAATTATGTATCTAATACAAAAATTTTGCTTAATAACGTTTCATGCAAGAACTGTGGTTATTCTCAAACTCATGAAGACATGGACCCTTATCTATAATCTTATGTAAAGCTCTGAAAAAAAGGTTTGTTTTTCTAATTTGTTTCCACAATCAATGCTAGCATTTTCTTTTTGTAGCATATGAATTTAGCTCTCCTGGATCAGACAGTTCGATAAAAACAATTACATGCTAATACATTTAAAACCCATTTTTGGCTCTTTTAGTGTAATTGGAAAATACTGGGCCAGTGTGTAATTTATGACACACAAACAGAAAGATTTAATTACAAAACTGTTTGACTACAAAACTCACTGTCGTCTATGGTGGTATGTGTCTGCCAGTCTGTGCAGAACCTGGACAAAAAACCTTTCAGAGAGGTTTTCTGAACTGAGGAATAGCTTGGTTCCTCCTAGCTCTGAGCCCCTAGGAATCTCAGAGGGCCTTAGATTTCCTGGGCTCTTTCCACCGTTCTCATATGATGACATTCCTGAGGAAATGACTGTTTTCTCAGTGAAAAACCACTGGGGATGGACAGCATTGTCATGTACAGTTGCACAGGCTGTGCACTACACAACTTGGGGGGGGCGCCATTCACATGGACTATACTAAGATAAATGGAGTTTGGATCCAGCCCAGGCCATCCCCTTCTCCTCTCAGTCCCTTTTCTGTAAAGCCGCTGATCCTGGGCTCCCAAGGGACCGGTTGGTGTTAAAAATCTGAGTAACATTTCTGTTCTGAAGTATGAGGTGGCTTTGGGTTTGGTCACAACTTCCGAGTGTTCTACTGACTTCATGGGAATTTCTGGGTATGGCAGAATCAACGAATTGTCCCCCAGGATCTATTCTCCCCTCTTCACAAGAAGAATTTCTAGGGGACATATAGGGCTGTCCAGAATAAAGACCACAAATTCTAGCCTCTCTAGGTATGGCCTGGTGGCCAATTTCTCATCGATGGGATGGGAGAGAATATGCGCAACTTCTGTGTTATGATTTTAAAAGAAGGCAGAGCTCCCTTCTGTTGCCCCACCTTTCTACTCTTGCTAGTTTAAGTGTAGGTCTAATAGTGACATTGCCAAAAGCCACCTTCAACCATAAGACAAAAGTCACATGAAAGCAGCATTCCAGAAGGAGCCAAGGTCTCTGATGAGCATGCTGCTGCCATACCAGCCCTGACTCAGTGTGAAAAACAAACTTTTATGCTATTTAAACCACTATCACACTGGGTCTCCTCATCTCAAGAGTGGAACCAAAATTCTAAAGAAAACACTAGGGCTTAGACAACTCTCATCACCGCCTTGCTTAAAAGTGCCCTGAATCCTTCCTGATTTTGATCATCATTTTAACCCATGCTGAGAAGGAAGCCACAGGGGGCAGGAGCGAGGACCTAGACCCAAGGGACTCACGGGGCCAGATAAATCTCTCTTGTTAGGACCCAAGATTTAAGAGCTCAAATCGATATTCGAGGCTTATCTAGTTCTGGTATGTCAAACTCGTTTCTTTTTTTGCACCCAAAGAAGACCAGTGGCACACCCCTGGAACAGAATCTGGAGAAGGATTCTGAGTCTGTATGTGCATTCAGCAGGAAAGAGTGAGGTGACCCATCAGTGATGTCTGTCCCAGTCAAGGCCGAGCAGGTGAAATCACAGACCCAGTGCCAGGCAGAACCAAGGCTGGACCCCTACACTCCCCGAGTCCAGCCCAAGGCACTTTCCACCCTCCTACACTGCTTTGTCAACAGTTATTGATTCAAAGCGCTGCTAAAGGGCAATAACAACAAAAAGATAAACTCACCGCAGAATTACTCTCGAGTGCCCGTGAGGATGAATAATGTGGTTTTTACTGCGAAGTGAAAACATCATTAGCCAAGTACCTGTATTGCTCCTCTCAAGTTAATTCCAGTTTCAATGGCGACATAGTAGGATGCTTGCAGAAATGTCCTTTGGAGTAGGAGGGTGAGGAACAGAAGCACGGCTAGGACGTAGGCATTAGCAAGGAACTCTTGGGATGAGACAAAGTAAACCCCGAGAAATTGCTTCTGTGGGAAAGAGAATTCGGAGATGACCACCATTAACACCTGTTAGTGTGCCATGGTGGCCATTATTATAGGAGCCTCCATGCTTGCAAAGTCTGTGCTGCTGTGTATAAGGGCAAAATCAGACTGATAAATCCAACTAAACATCCTCTAGCCACAGGGAGGGTTGCTCATACCCTCTTCATCATCCTACCTAGGGGAACAGAGTGTGGCCCAGCTCTAACCTTGTGCCCATAAATATGACTTTCAGCTGTGGGGCCACCAGGCCCAGGGGAGCTCACTCTGAATGGAACAAGAATAAATAGAGCAAATCACAGAGCAGCCAAAATCAGAACTGCTTGAGCAAATCCCACAATGTGTGTTCTCTGCTACAAAAAAACCCAGAATGAGCTGAGGTCTTGTCCTACACTCACCAACAGCCAGCCCTGCAGAAATTTCTGGGGAGAAGAGGCCAGGGGGAAAACTGTAGTGCTCCCAGGCGAGGTGGAAACTCATCACCTCTGATGGACTGAGAAGATTTCAGAAGCCCCCCTGGCCTCATGGTCTCCCAGGACCTCCTTTTAAATTGTCCTCTTGCTACACCTCCAGCAAGATCTCAGATGATAAGCACTGGGAAAAAAAACCCAAACGTTTTGACTCTGTTGCTAAAGATACCAGGAAACAACAGCATGTCTGTTTCCAAATTCAGCATCAACAGCTCCCAGGAAAACTTTGATCCTGATTAAGTCCTTTGCTCCCCAGCAGAACCACATCAATGTTTCCATGAAGACAGCACTCTCCCCTTCCTGAGACTCTGCCCTGAACTCTGAAAGCTATTTGCAGGGTATGGGAGCTGCTGCAGGGTGAAGGGTGGTGGGAACAAAGTGATGAGAAGGAGTCTGAGGGCACGTCTCTGGCCAGGATCAGGCCCAAGGGGTCAGAACGCCAAGAGGGGTCTTTTTCCTAGAGTCAGAAATTCCTGGATCATTGGATACAGAGCTTTCTGGTGGTCTGATGCTACAAAAGATCTTGCCTCTCATTTCAACTGGGCCTTTTCAATCAGCCCTTACTGCTTCATGGAACTTACAGCTATCTCTCCCTGGCTCTGTGGGACAGAAGTCTTTTCCTTTTGGGGACAGCAGGAAGCAGGCACAGTGAGACAATTAAAGTCTCCTAGAGGAAGGCCTACCAAGGCCTGAAGTCCCCGACTCTGGCTCATTTATCAAAGTACCAGAGGGAAAGGCAGAGGGAGAAGGAAGAAGGTGCGTGTGTGTGTGTGTGTGGGGGGGTTGGAAGCAGCAAAATGGACCTTAAAATGAGGCTGCAGGGGTTGAGACCTGACCTTGCAGGGAAGGAAGGGGCAGGACACAGTATTTCTCAGGTGCAGAACTCCATCCTCGCAATACACCAATGAGAATACCATTATGAGCCTAATTTTATGTACGAGGAAATGGAGTTTCAGCATGGTTATGTGGCTGCCTCGAGGTCACATGCTGATAAGGCAGAACACATGAACATGAACAGGAACCTGTGTGATGCCCAAAACATCCCTAGATCCACTACCTAAGCCTCACCCGGCCTCTTGACCTCGAGTCTCCTGTTGTCAGCTACAAGCTTGTGGGGGACAGACCCACGGCCACGTGGCTGGTTCTGGGTCAAAGATGAAGGCACATGGGCTTGGGAAGACCTGGTCCTATTTAACACACTTTGGAATTCTTCGGTTCTACCGTCTTCCACAGAGACCCACTTCTGGAGAATGGAGTCCATTATGTTAAAGCAACAAAGCACATCCTGGGAACTTACCCCAAAGGAAATCATTTAACATCAGGAAATGAAAGTGCTCTATCCCTGGGTTACAGCAGAGGGAGAGGTGAAAAGCCATGTCCATGTGCATCCATAGGGAATGGTTGGGTATATTCTGATGCTCATGGGAACACTGACCGCTACGAAAGCTCTCGAGTGTGCCATGCACGTGCTGTCTCACGATGATCAGAAAACACGTGGGCTGGAGAATGTGGACTCGAAAAATCACCTGATCACATATGTTGGTTAGAGTATGGATGGTATTTGTTAAATACGCTCATTATTTGTACATTTTTAGCAAAGCAACTAATTCCTTTTTCACAGCTTTAAAGGCAAAACCTTGACCCTTTCCCCCGACAACACACATACTATTGGGGCAGAAACTCTATTTCTTTGGATCAACTTCTTGTGGCCTATTAAGATGAAAATCTCCCTGCAGGTCTAAGTCATTAGGGTGTTATTAGATCTCTCTTCAAAGAGACAGCTTAAAAGAGATGGAGCCCAGAATAGCTAAATTTTTATTAAGAAGTGGGTACTAGACTAGCCAAAGGGACCCGGGGTCCTGCCCAAGGAAGGCAGGCCCTGGGAAGCTTTAAATGGGTGTGAGGCCATGGACATTGCCCAACACTTTGAAGGCTGGAGAGAAAAGGCCAAGGACCTACAACTGGACATCTGGTGGGGGTTAAATGCTTCGGAAGATCAGATGCCCTAGTCTCACACTTTCACAAGCTCTCAGGGAAGTGTTTGTTTCCAGGCTCAATATGTATTTTATTTTATTTATTT